AGTGAGTGAGTGAGTGTGAGAGTTGAGTGAGTGAGTGAGTTGAGTGGGGTGAGTTGAGTGAGTAAGTGAGTGAGGAGTGAGTGGGTGGATGAGTGAGTTGAGTGAGTTGAGAGCGAGTGGGTGAGTGACGTGAATGAGTGAGTGAGAGTGGATGAGTGATGTGTGTGTGAGTGTGTGTGTGTGCGCGCGTGCATGTGGTGTTGTGTGTTCCAATGCGTGTTGTGTATGTGTCTTTGCATGTATCTAAAAGCATGTACGTTGTGAAATATGCACTTGACCAGGCGTACAGTTTTGTAAGCATGAATATATGAAAGCATAAAGTGGTAAACATGAATAAATGAATGAATGCATATCCATCCATGCACATGTACACCAAGGATCTCCTCTACACCCGTCTATCCACCCTCCTTCCTTCGGTGTCTTTCTCCTCCCTTCCCCTCTTCCTATATTCTCTTTCTCTTTTACCCTTCCTTTCAACCTCTTCCCTTCGCACATAAACTATACCTATTCATGCAAAGACAATGACTCCACAAATCCACACGAAGAAGAAAAGATAAAATTCGCGGAAACAAACGCACCTAAAAAAAAAACAGAACCCATTTGGCACATCAAAGTAAAAGGTAAACAAACCACCAAAAAAAAAAAAAAAAAAAAGGGGAACCGAAAAGAGAAAGAGAGAGAAAGGAGGGACATTTGGCCTAGAGGACTGATAGGCCTACAACAGCGATCCGTCAAAATTTATCCGGGTGGAGAAAGCAAGACGATTCGTCACTGAGTGTTGAAATGGAATGGGAATTCAATCGAAGGACGTTTGGGAGATGAAGAAATATATTTGGAATAAAACCAGAGGAAAGTCTGAGGAGAAGGAAGAGAAGGGATGATAAGGATGAGGACAGACCAAGTTTTCGGTTGGAAGAAAGGAAGAGAGAGTTTGCGTGGGAGAGGGAGAGGGAAGAGGGAGGGGGAAAGGAGGGGAGGGAGGAGGAAAGGGGGAGGGGAGAGAGGAAGGGAGAGGGAGGGGAGGGAAGGGAGGAGGAGAGAGAAACAGAAACGTTCAAATGAAAATAAAAAAAACAGAAAACAGGAGAGTCCGAAAGAATGAATGGGGGAAGACTACACCAACCTTTACTTTCTCTCACCCTAAATTTCCTCCCCTCTCCCTCTTCCCCTTCCCCTCTCCCTCCCCCCAACCCCCCCCCACCATCCGAACATTCATCGGCCTTAAAAGTGCGTCCAGCCTGCCAAGCACAACACTCACAAAATATTTATGACTCCCCCTCTGTTTTCCATGGCAGTCTCCTGGGTGGGGCGACAGTGCCCCTCTCGCCCGGAAACGGTGATTGTCTTAACAGCGCGGCCACAGGGGAAAACACACCCTCGGCACTCTCTCCATAAGGCTTAGACCGAGTACCGTCACGGACAAACGGCTCCGACCCGATTTTTTTTTTTTCTTCCAAAATACATTTTCCTCCACTTCGGATAGACGCACGGTGCCCTGACCGGCGACCCGCGAAGCATCCCTGACAAACTGCCTGTTCGACGATAAAACATGGTTATTTACAGCCCCGCGGACCCGGAGGCCTTTGGAAGCGAGAGGCCCTGACAGCGCTAATCAGCTTGTTCAAACATTAGCTCTCCGCTCGCCAAAAATCGGAAGACGTCGACGCCTTCGTCAAACATATCAGTCATGAAAGAAATCTCTGTGCACAGGAACAGAGCCTCGTTCGTCTGGTTCTACGAGGCTTTCCGAAATTGCGATCACTTCATATTACCTAATATATATATATATATATATATATATAATATATAATATATATATATATATATATATAATATAAATATATATATATATATATATTATATATATATATATATATATAAATATAGATAGAGATAGAGAGTGATAGAGAGAGAGAGATACATATATACATGACACACACACACCACACACACACACACATTTAAACACAAGACCTGACCGAATAAGAGAATAACCGATTTCCTAGTTCCAAGCCCAAGGAAAATATGCAAGTGGCTACATAACACAAATGCCACAAAAGCTTCCTCCTCCGAGCACTCATGCAGGCTGGTGAGCGCGCAAGCAAGAAGGCAGGCCCTCCCCGATACCCAAGCCGGGCGGGGGCGTGTCGCAAGCACACCGCAAGCCTCAAGCCACCAAGGCAGACCAATATGGCCTCTAGCGGACGCCGGTGCCTCGTACGCTGAGAAAAAGCGTCTTACACACGCCTTACTCGTTCGCAAAAATAAGCGCCGTCGTCAGCTGGGCCTCGCCACTCAGACACGTTACAAACACGTCAGAACCGACGACAATGGCTATTCTTCCTGGCCCTTGTTTACGACGCGGGGGATGACCAGACGCCAACCCCGACAATGTTTACACCCGATGACAAATCCTTTTCTACGAACCTTCCGACTAACACGTCATCCCTCCTCCCCCTTCCCTTCCCTCCCCCCCCTCCCCCACCTTTCCACAAACTCACAACTCGAGGCAAGCGGGAAAATAGAGAAAAAGAACGACGAAGAAAAATAAACTCGAAAAAAAGATGTGACAGAAACCAACAACACGAGAATCCGAGTGATATACTCAGCTCACACACTCATCCTCCCCCCCTCCTACTCCCCCAAACCCCCTCCGCCGCGTGTGATCGAACCTGAGTCGGAGAGAACGAGCTTCCTAAAGCAACACTCACGGCGAAGATAAACACCTTAGGGATGTGGGGCCGAGGCCGCGAACGTCCTCAGGAGATCTCCCTCGCCTTCACATACCTGAAAAGAGGAGAAAAAAGAGAAACGTGTTAGCCACTAGTCATACAGCGCAAGAACGAATTGGGAAACAAAATAAAAAATAACAATAAATAATAAATTACAAAATTCACCAGAGCAAACTGCAGGGAAATCGCAGCCTTGTCTACAGGCATTCCTCTCTGGAAGCGATCACCTTGGCGCACTTCTTTCCCTGTTGTCTCAGACGACCGCGCTCTCGCCGCCTCAGGGTAAGGGACTAAAGCGAAAGCATCCTTCGGCAGGAGTCCCAAAGAGCCGTCGGCGAGCGCAGCATCCCGCCTCGTTTAAGACCCTCTGGGCGGGAATGGCGCCGTGCCGGGACGCCCTCCGTTTAATAATCCCGCCGCCACGCACGCACGCCCATCGCCGCCCTCTTTTTGCGGAATTGACGGAGCGCGAGAGCCCGCACGGACTGCAAATGAGCGCGCTTGAACTCGCATCCTAAAAAGCTCGCTCGGATATTCTCGTCTCCGCAAATGAGCCCATGATTCATGCAAATGCTGATCCCCGAAGCTGAAAAAGGAAACCGCAATTGCACGCCCGGAATTACGTTGATAAGCTCGGCAGACGCGCCCCGCCTCGGCCATCACGTACGCGCAGATAATTGTGGTGTGACGTCACAACGTTTGTATTCCTATTAGTCGTAACCGAGGAGGAAATTCAGCGGGCGTGGGAGGAATAACAGTAAAGACTATAAAGCACGGTTACAGCCTCTTCACAATGCAAGCACAGTTATGTATCTGTGTATGGCTAAGTGTGCATATATGTCCATGTGTATCTATGTGTATTTGCGGGTGCGCACGCGTTGCATTATTTTGTGTGCATGCTTCGTCTTCAGCAAGAGTAACGCCGCCATCACTCTCTCCAGCGACCATCTGTCTCCCATCCCCTAACCACTCAAAAAGACCATCTCCCAACCTCACAGCGAACCCCCTCGCCCATTAACACAACACAAATACTCATAATGTTACTTTGCAAAATCCTTCCGCCCACATTCCTCGACCGAAAGCCCCGAGCACCAAGAATGGAAGAAGGGCGTGGCGGGGAGGGGGATGGAGGGGGGGGGGGGTTGTAATAACCCGCCAAGGAAGCTAAAAGTGAAGCGCTGCCTGGAGCTCCTTGCCGCCTCCCCTCCCCCCTTAAGCTCTCTTTTCTTTCACCGCCGCCGCTCGCTTCTCGCTTCTCTCTCTCTCTCTCTCTTTCTCTCATCTCCTCCCATCCTCTATTCCAGTTCCCTCTCTCTATCCTCCTCCTCCTCCTCCTCCGTCTCTCTCCCCCCCTCCCTCTCCCTCTCCCTCTCCCCTCCCTCTTCCCATCCCATCCCTCTCCCAACCCCTTCTCCCTCTCCAAACCAAACACCCCTTAACCTCACATCTGTTTACATAAAACACGCAGGCGCGCACACCGCAACCTACCCTTCGGAGTGGAACACAAACCTACTCAGATATGCAGTCACAGCGTCTTCATCGAAAGCACTGGAACGCCTTGAAGACAAAACCGATTCCATTCGACAAGAAAACGAGAAATAACACAATACCCAACCTGATAACGTATAAAAACCGTTCGTATTTCCGGCGCAGGAGCAAAAAAAAAAAAAAATAAAAAAAAAAAAAAAAAAAAAAAAAAAAAAAAAAAAAAAACAATGCAAGCAATCAAGAAAAAAAAAAATAAAAGCACGCCCGGACCAAAACCAAAAGCCAAGACCACGGGCGAGCACAACCGAAAACGACGCGTTGAATACACGCACGGTAAATCCACACGCACAAGCACCACCACAAACGCACCCCCTCCCCCTTTCCCCCAATCACCCCCCCCCCCCGCAAGCACCCACACCCGGGTCTTTGTCGGTGTCAGTCATCCAGGCGGTCAAACACGTCCTTTCACCCGCCATCTTCACCTATCAGGTAACGGGTGGGGGGAGGGGGGTGGGCGGGGTGAAGAAGCGGAGGGTGAGGGAAGGGGGAGGGGCAAGGGATATGGGGAGGAGTAGGGGGGGCCGTTGTGATGTGGGGGTAAGGGATTCATGGGGGATAGGTGGGGTGGATACTAGGTATATAAGGGGTATGTAAAGGGATAAGCAAGATGGGCACGGGTTAAACAGGGTAGGTAGGGGGAGTAAGGGGTACCAAAGATGGGTATGGGATAAGAGGTAAAAGCAGTAGGTAGGATGGGTAAGAGAAACGAGGTAATAAGGGATGGGTAAGGGGTACGAAGTAGAAGAGAGTACCAAAGACAGGTCAGAAGTAAGAGCCAAAAGAGGTACCAAAAGACAGGTCAGGGCTACGAGGTACAAGGGATAATACGTACCGTGAGTAAAATGAATACCTGGAGCGAGTAATGCGAACAAGAAAGGAAAGCGAGAGAGAGAGAGAGAGAGAGAGAGAGAGAGAGAGAGAGAGAGAGAGAGAGAGAGAGAGAGAGAGAGAGAGAGAGAGAGAGAGAGAGAGGAGAGGGGGGGGGGGCGAAAAGAAAACGCCCCACACGCCCCAAGGGTACGATGCGAAAACACGAAAAGGTGCGAAGAAAAATAAAAGTAAAAGAGTTAGCACGGACGAAGAGAGAGAGAGAGAACGGATGTCGACGGAACCGGGTAGGCAGACAGACAGACACAAACAAAAACAAACCAAAAACTCAAAGATACACACATACACGCTCTAGGTATACATACACACATGCACAATACAAACACACGTCCATATTATGTGTGTGTGTGTGCTGTAAACAAGTAATAACGATGGTCTAAGACTAAGGGAATGAGGATTGGAGAGAGGGAGGGGAGGGGAGGGGGAGCCGCAGGGAGATAGGAGGAGGAAAGGAGTGGGAGGGGAAGGGGAGAAAGGGAAGGAGGAAGGTGGAGAGGGAAGAAGAAAAAATGAGGGAGTAGGGAGGAAGGGAGTGAGGGAGGGAGAGGGAGAGGGGACGGAAAGGGGGAGAGAGCGTGCGTGCATGCGTGTGTTTATGTATGTTTATGCGTGAAAAAAGACAGTGACGAGTTGGAAACGAAAGAGAGAAAGGGGAGACCCGAGGCAGAAGAGGAAAGCAGTCTCGCTAAACGAAAAAAAAAACAAGAAAAAAAGAAAAAAGAAAGATCAGTGCAGATGGCAGCAACAGGCAGAGCGGCAGGCAGGGCAGGCTGTGGGCTGGAAGGTCGCAAGAACGTGCAACGGCAGGAGGAACATCAAGGACGACGGACAGGGACAAGGCAATGCAAAAAGGTGGGGGCAGGGGTAGGGAAGTGGGGGGGGAGGCAATCGCGTAGAAAAAGGTGGGTGTGGGGCGAGTGTGGGTGTTACTGGTCAAGCGTCGGATGCCTGGAGGAGAGGAGGGGAAATGGGGGTGGGGCGAGAGAAAACGAGAGATGAAAGGATTGAGAAAGAGAGGGAGGGAGTTGGAGAGAGTGGGAGAGGGAGGGAGGGAGGAAGGAGTTGGAGAGAGTGGGAGTGAGAGGAGGGAGGGAGAGAAAGAGTGAGTGAGTGAGGAGAAAAGAGAGAAAGAACATAAGAGAACGAAGAGAGCCAGAGAGAAAGAGAGAAGAGACGAGATGAGATTGAGAGGGATGAGGGGATCGAGGTGGGGGGGGGGGGGAGCGACTCCATTAGCGCACTAAGCAACAAGCAAGTCCTTCACGCATGCAGATAAGAGAGGCGTTGATCGAGGCAGCCACCCTCTCTCTCTATCGGACGCCTTCAATCAGCGGGCGGCGGTTGGCTCCGCGTAAGCAAGCCGGGCTGATCTCCCAATCACCTTCCTCCCCATGACATAACCCCCCCCCCCCCGACTTTCAACCACTTGTTACCCCCTTCCCTACGCCCCCAACACACCCCCACCTCAACCCCTTCCCCCAACTCGCGTCACCGGCCCGACTCCCGACAATGAGACAGAACGAACGCCCAACACGACCCGGAAAACCAAATTTCAATCGCAAATTTGGCGTACCATTATTATGCTACGACGCCGACTCCACCGACAAAACCCCCGACTAACCGACTCCTCCTGCCTAACCGATTCATCCTGACTAACCGACTAACTCCTACTAACCCTGACTAACCGATTCACCCCGACTAATCAACTAACCCCGACTCACCGACTAAACCCGACTAATGGCCCGCGGATGACCAAACCGACAAGATACACTCCGAAGCGGCCCCTTGTTCGCCCGAGGTTTATCTCCGTCGCATCGGCCCGCCCCGCTCCGAGTGACGGCCGGCGCCACCTCCCTCCCTCCGTCACATTAAGACCCCAGCCTATCGCGTCTGGAGATAAGCATCTGCAACTTAGCCTATAATGAGGAGGAAAAAAAAAAACAAACAAAACGACACAATCCTCATTTCGCATCTCTAAATAAAACTCTCTGGACTTTTATAGCTATAGAGCGCTCGCTTTCTCTCTCTCTCTCTGTCTCTCTCTCCTCTCTCGCTCTCTCTCTCTCTCTCTCTCTCTCTCTCTCTCTCCCTCTCTCTCTCTCTCTCTCTCTCTCTATCTCCTCTCTCTATCTCTCTCTCTCCTCGAACACAACTCCTCCTCACAGTTGTTACCCGCGCAACCCAAGAACAAACATTTATTCGCCCTTAACTCAAACAACTCGCACAGACATACCTTTCTTTTAATTTCCCTCTCCTCCCCCTTCTGCCCCCCCCCTCTCCCGCGCCAAGAAGGTCCGAGACAAAAAAAATCTGACAGGCTGCTCGACGCCCTACTGACGGAGGAGCGAAAGGATGAAGTGGGTTTGAAGTAGACCTACGTTAACTACTACTACTACTACGACTAATACTACTTACTACTACTACTACGACTACTATTACTAGTGCTACTTCTACTACTACGACTACTATTACTATTACTACTACTACTACTACCACCACCACATCTACTTACTTACCATTCTTGTTACATCCCTACTATTACCATTCTTGTTACATCCCTACTATTACAACTATTCCCATTAAAATAGTATTACTTTTATCTTAACAACTATTCTTGCTACTTCTTCTATCACTACTACAACGCCATCACTACTGCTATTCCTAAATCACGACAATAACGCCTTGACTAACAAAATCTCCATACATCATAAACAATCTTGTCCCTAAAATATCCCCGAAAAGAAAGAAAGAAAAGAAAAGAAAAATGACAAAACAAACACACACACGAACACACTACCCTCACGTCACCACTGTAGGAGACAAAAGCACTAACGTCTACATCCTTTCGATTTCATATTATCCGCGTCATAGTTATTTTTTTTTTGTCAATGACCCGATGTTGCAGCTCGCTCGAAATAACTCAACAATTGCAATCAACGAGCCTGAACAGGATAAGTGAATACCTGCACCCAAATTCCACTGACAATTTTTTTTTTTTTTTTTTTTTTTTTTTTTTTTTTTTTTTTTTGCAGATTTCATAGAGTATGAAATAGCATAAAAATCGCATTTTGATACGAGGGGCAAGGCAATCGTCCTTCGGCTGAACTGTCGAAAATTGGGAGTGGATAAAATAAATGCCATTTCTGCTACGGCCTCGGCTACGATTACTATCATTAATTGCTGTTGTAATTTCTACTGCTGTTGATTATTGTTCATACTGCTGCTATTATTACAATTTAATTTGAAGTATTATTACTACTGCTACTGTTCTTTATTGCTGGTGCTGGTGTTGATGCTACTGCTGCTATTGCATTACTACTACTACTACTACTACCACCATCACCACCACTGCCACTAGTACTACTACTACTATTACTACTACTACTGCTATTTCTACTACTACTGCTGTTCCTACTACTACTTTCCTACTTTCAACTACTTTTTCTACCTCTACTACTATTCCTACTATTTTTCCTACTTATACTAATATCCCTACTACTACCACTACTATACTACTACTTGCTACTCTACTACTACTACTTCTACTACTATTACTACTTACTACTACTGCTACTTTACTACTACTACAACTACTGCTCTACTACTACTATACTACTACTACTTCTACTACTACTACTACTGCTACTACAACTACTAACTACTACTACTACTACTACCATTCTTACAACTGCTACCAATAACAATAAACAGCAACATTAACCCTGAAATACAACGGCCTGGATACTTTATGTGAATGAAATCGCATCGCCCGCCATTGACCTTTCAAAAAGTTTCCTTTCACAATGAACGAAAATCCGACTGAAACGGCCGAAACAATTCCAGAAATCGCAAGATACGAGTACGCCCCTTTAGCCACACGTCGGCGACATGCTTTTAAAGATGAAAATCCCGTGGCAAGGACGGCCAAAGTAGTACCTAAGGACATTCGAGACGATCGGTAAATCCTCGGGTTTGCATGCTCAAGGAAATGATGAATCCAAACAGGAATTGCAGGCTCTTGCCCCTTAACCGCAACCACCCCAATTCACCCTTCCCTGTCTTGTGTCTGGTGTCTGTCTGTGTCTGTCTTTATGTCTGTTTGTGTCTCTGTTTTTCTTTGTGCCTGGCTGTCTGTCCTGTCTGTGCTGTCTGTCTGTGTCTGTTTTTGTGCCTGGTTGTCTGTGTCTGTTTTGTGCTGTCTGTGTCTGTTTTCTGGCTGTCTGTGTCTGTCTTTTTGTGCCTGCTGTCTGTGCTGTCCTTATGCCTATCCATGCGTCTGTCCTTATGTCTGTCTGTGTGCCTTTGTGTCTGTCTTTGTGCCTGTCTGTCTGTGTATGTCTTGTGCCTGTCTATCTGTGTCTGTCCTTGTGCCTATCCATGTGTCTGTATTTACGTCTGCCTGTGTCTATGTGTCTGTCCTTGTCTGTCCATGTGTCTACCTTTACATATGTCTGCGTGTCTGTCTGTGTGTCTGTGTAGATCTCAATGTTTTCTGTGAGTGAGTCTGTATGACTGTGTTTGTTCCATTTCCATTCCTTTTCCCAACTTCTTTTCTTTCCACTTTAAAAGTCCCCACGAATGTGAAGCAAGTGATCAAATAAGGATCCAATTAATTTTTCAGGAAATGCAAATTAAATAAACGTACACACACTGCTCAGCAAAAAGGTTCAATTCATTAATTAGTTACCTGTAAAAAATATAAAGCGGAGTTTCTAAAAATAAAAAAATCGAGCTAATCAAAGTCGGTTTTCTTTTCCTTTCGCCTTGCTTGATCTTTCTTCTTTAATTTGTTCTGTTTTGTCTTTTCCATCCATCTCCCATCTTTATCCGTCGTTTTGCCTTCCCCTTTCTCTTTAACCGTCTCTTAGCCTGTCTCTCTTTCTCTTCTCTCTCATCTCTCTTCTCTCCTCTATCCATCTCTCTCCTTTTCCTCCCTTCTACTTCCCTCTTTCTCCCCCGTTTATTTCTTTCCCTCCTTACTTCCCTACCACCCTCTTCCCCTTCATCTGTCTTTCTCTCTCTCCCTATCTATTTCCCTCTTTCCTCTGCCGCCTCCATTTATCTTCCTCTCTCTCCTCATCTATTCCCGTCTTTCCCTCTCCCCCTCCATCCATCTCCCTCTCTCCTGTTCCCCTCCCTCTCCCTCCCTTCCCCAGCCCTCTCCCGCCTGTCCCTCTCTCCCCTTTTATGCTTCTTTTATGCTTGCCATCCCACGCGAGCCCCGCCTTCCCCGCCACCTGCAGGAGCCGGGTCCCGGGTACACCAGATCCTGCCCCACCCGGCCCCGGCGGCCCCGAAGTTTCCCAGCTGCGGGCGCCGGGTGACCGCACGCCCGGGCTCGGGTTGCCCAGCCCGACCTGTTGCTGTAGTTCGGGGTATCGCTTTCCCAGGGTAGCGGCGGCGGCGGCACAGGGAACTGCAACGGCGGCGCAGGAAACAGCAGCGGCGGCGGCACCGGCCCTTCCGCCAACGGCATCGTACAGCGCGCGCCTCGTTCCGCCGAGCCCCGCCTCATTCCCCGTCCATTAGAGGCTCGGTTCGACCGCATTGGTCTCCGCCGAGGCCATTATCCAACGACAAAAGCAAATTAGCATTAATACCACTCATCACCGAACTCGCGGCGCGTCCAGGAATCTGCCATAATTTACCTGTCCTCATGTTTACATAAACCTGCTGCTGGCGGCCATTAAAACTATCGGGTAATTGCACATCACGACCTGCGTTGGCTGACCGATATCACGTGTTCATTTCCTGTCAGCGTGAACGAAATAATTCGAAGTGAAAGGCCGGATAACAAAGCGTCGCCGCCGTTATGGGGCGAGAGTACTGTCACGGCATAAATTACGTGCATGTGCGTTAATGCGGCTTCACGTAGGTTTGCCAATTAACAAGGAGAATAGCTAGCGCACAGAGAAAACTGTCATACAAATACTATGCATGCATGCAAATACATGCACATACACGCTCTATGTAGAAAGGAAGAAACGCACAGACTAAAGAGAAGAAATATATACATATACATACAAATATATACACAAATATGTATATACGATTATATGCACGCAAGCATATACAACGCATCTATATTCACCCTCTCTGCGTAACCCCTCGTCAAGCATAAGCGTCCGGGAGAAAGCGCCGTGCGTCGCAGACGCCGACGCAAACCGACAGCAAAAATCTGACGCCGCCGCCGCCGCCACGAGAAAGGAGGCGGCCCCGGCCAGCAGCAGCAAGCAGAGACACCCGCCCCTTTATTTCCACGGGTCTCGGGTGACGGACGACGACGCTGCCCGACCCGAGATTGAACCAATCACATTCCTGCCCCTCACCCCTCCTCCTCCCCTCCCCTCCCTTCCCTCCCGGGGGTGCAGAGAGGGAGGGGATGGGGGGGGGGGGCAGTAGCGTAGTACTAGAGAAGACGACCAAGACGTCTGGAAATCGCCGGTCCACAGTCATCGTCTGTTACCTATGCACTGTACGTGTATGTGTGTTGTGTGTGTTTATGTGTTTGCATGTGCGTGTATACATAAAATATATACATATATTACATACATATACATGTACATACTTTATATAAACATATAAGACTATATATATATATATATATATATATATATATATATATATAATATATTATATACATACGTACGTACATACATACATACATACATACATACATACATAAATATATATATATATAACATATATACATATACATATATATATAATATATATATATATATATAATATATATATATATATATATATATAGTCTTATATGTTTTATATAAAGTATGTACATGTATATGTTTGTAATTTTGTATATATTTGTATGTATACACGCACATGTGTGTGTGTGTGTGTGTGGTGTGTGTGTGTGTGTGTGTGTGTGTGTGTGTGTGTGTGTGTGTGGTGTGTGGTGTGTGTGTGTGTGTGTGTGTGTGTGTGTGTGTGTGTGTATAGTGTGTGTGTGTGTGTGTTGTTGTGTTGTGTAGTGTGTGTTGTGTATAGTGTGCGTGTGTTGTGTATGGTGTGTGTGTGTGTATGATTGTGTGTATGTATGTATGCATATGTATATATGTATGCATGTTCTGTGTTATGTGTAAATGCATGAATGAATGAATGAATGCATCCTTGTATGTATGCATGTGAATGTATGCATGTATGTATGAATGTATGCATGTATGTATGCATGTATGTATGATGTATGCATGTTATGCATGCATGTATGCATGTATGTATGTATGTGTATGTGTAATGTATGTGTATGTATGTATGTGTATGTATGTATGCATGTATGTATGCATGCATGTATGCATGCATGTGTGAATGTATGTGTTCATGAATGTTTGTATGCATGTGCATGTGCGTGTGTATACACACATACACACATACACACACACACACACACACACACACACACACACACACACACACACACACACACACACACACACACACACACACACACACACACACCTCCTAGCCCAAGCGTACCCGCATTCCCCGGCCAGCGCCCGCAGCCGCAGCGCACCAACTGACCAACAGACGCGGGGACAGACAGCAGCCCCGGCCAGAGGCAGGTGCGGCGGCAGGGAAGCAGCAACAGCAGCGGCGGCAGTTGGTGTCCGGGCGGGGGGCGGGGGGCAGGGGGGGCGGTGGTGGGGCTCATTTTCCCTTTAAGACGATCAATGTCGGAGTTGCACAAGTTGGAGGAGGAGGAGGACGACGACGAATAGGAGAGGGAGAGAAGGAGGAGGAGGAGGAATAGGAGGCAGAGAGGAGGACGAATAGGAGAGGGAGAGGAGGAGGAGGAATAGGAGAGGAGAGAATAGGAGAGGAATAGGAGGAATAGGAAGGGAGAGAGAGGAGGGAAGGAGGAGGAGGAGAGGAATAGGAGGAGAGAAGGAGAAGGAGATGAAGAAATAGAAGGGAGAGAAAAGGAGGAGGAGGAATAGAATACGAGGTAGAGAAGGAAAATGAATGAGGAGAAGGGAGAGGGAGAGGAAGGAAGAAGAGGAGTAGGGGGATTAAGAAGAATGAGGAGAAGGAAAAGGAAGAGGATGTGGAAGAAGAAAAGGAAAAAGAGGAAGAAGGGGGGAGGAAGAGGAAGAAGTGGAGGAAAAAGACGAAAAAGAAGAGCAGCTGAATAAGAAGGAGAAGAAGTTGAAGAGAGTAGAGGAGGAAGAGAAAGAGAAGGAGAGGCAGGAGAAAACAAAAACGCCAGAGTATAAACCAAAACAAAAAAGGGGAAGAGAGAGCATCACAGAAAAGACAAAACAAAAGCGGGCGGCGGGGCAAGAAAACACAAACTGAACCCCCAACTAACCTGACTTATCAACCATCCTTGCTTCCTCCTTCGTTAATGAAATACGAGGGGAGGGGGGGGGGGAGGGGAAAGAGGGAGGGAGGGAGGGGGAGGAAGGAGGGAGGGAGGAGGTGGTGGAAGGAGGAGGAGGTGGTGGAGAGGAGGAGGTGGTGGGGAGGAGGAGTAGGAGAGGAGGAGGAGGAGGAGGAGGAGGAGGAGGAGGAGGAGGGAGAGAGAGGAGAGAGGTGGAGAGAAGAAGAGAGAGAGAAGAGAGAAGAGAGAGAGAGAGAGAGAGAGAGAGAGAGAGAGAGAGAGAGAGAGAGAGAGAGAGAGAGAGAGAGAGAGAGAGAGAGAGAGAGAGAGAAGAGAGAGAGAAAGAGAGAGAAGAGTGAGAAGAGTGAGATGAGAGAGAGAAAGAGAGTGAGTGAAAAGAGTGAGCAGAGAGGAGAGAAGAGAAGAGAGAGAATTAAGGGAAAGGTCAGAATAAAAAGGCAGGACGCAAAACTCCGGCCATACAACAGGCAAGGCGTCTCCCGCAAGAGGAAAGCGCAAACCGGACGCAAGAAAGGAAAGCACCCGGGGGGGCGGCGCCGCAGAGCCACCGGGGCACAGCCGCCGAGCGACAGCCGAGAGCGACAGCCGACGAGCAGCCGAAGGGGCGAGCGACAGCCGAAGGGGCGAGCGACAGCCGAAGAGAGCGTTCGACAGCCGAAGGGGCAAGCCGAAGTCAATAGCCGCCCTAACGAGGCCCGCGACCGCAAGCGGCCTTATGCCTTCTAAAAGGCTCAATCGCCCGGAGTGACAGCAAACGAAGGTCGGTAAAGGTCACGCAGGCATGCAGGCGCTAGACGTGGGGCGGGGTGGGGGTGGGTGGGGGAGGCTCAAAGTGCTTGCGAAAAGAAACATGAAAGGAAATGGTTTAGGTCTCGGGAGAATGTGTGGAGTGTTAGTATGTGCGTGTGCGTTTGAAGGGGTGTTTACGTGCGTGTTTGCGTGTACATCTGCGTGTGCGCGTGCATGTGCATGGGCGTGCGCATATGCGTTAACATGTTAACATGTACACCTGCGTGTGCGTATGCATGTTCATCTGTCGTGTACATATACATGTACATGTGCAAGTGCATGGGTGTATATATATACACATTCATCCGCGTGTGCACGTGCGTATCCGTGTGTGCATGCATGAGCGTACCCGATTGCATGTGATTTCGTGTCTCTTTGCGCATGCAGGAAATAGCAGGAAGGAAGGGGTAGGCAGGACGAGGAGAGAAAGGGGTTGCACGATCAGCTGTTACGTGACAAAAGGCGACCCCGAAAGACGTGCATCACCAGCATCAGTCCCTTGGCTCGACTGCATACTCAATCAAGACCGAGACCTGGTATGAAATGGCACGTGACACACTCCGATGACACCGTGTCTGTTTAGTCGACAGATGTCAGCTCAAACATTACACTGTCATCGATCAAGTTCAAGTGAGTTGAAGGGGAAATCTTTCAGGAAATCCATCCCCTTTTCCTTATCAAAATAACATCAATGGCAACATTAGGGTGACTGCAACAATCATAACTAAAACAAAATGGCAATTATAACATGAGCATAAATTTACTTGTTACACAGATTTCCCTACAATAATAATAATAACAATAATAATAATAATAATAATAATAATAATAATAATAATAATAATAATAATAATAATAATAATAATAATAATAATAATAATATAATAATATAATAATAATAATGATAGCACACCAAAACAATAAAATCACTAATCAACAGCGACAGAAAGGCAACAATAATACAGCCAGCAGCCCCATAGCAACCCCTCCCTCCCCCCTCCCCCCTTCAGCATGCAGATGGCAATCGCATGAAGGAGAGCTGACACCGGGCAAGAAATGTCACGGTGCCACGGCGAGCGGAGGGCAGGCGCTCGACCGTTCCCAGGGTGTGTAAACATTGACTGCCACCTTGGAGACTAATAAGGAGTTCCGGCTTTGAGATATCTTCTTTCTTCTAGCTTCTTAAAAGAGAAAGCAGAATTGGAAACACACTCACGAGAGAGAGAGAGGGGGGGGGAGGGGGGGAATACAGAGAGAGGGAGAGAAGAGATACAGAGAAGGGAGGGAGGAGGGGGAGAGAGAGGGGAGGGAGAGGAGAGAGATGAGAGGGAGAGAGAGGAGAGAGAGAGAGAGGGAGAGAGGAGAGAGGGAGAGGGAGAGGGAGAGAGAGAGAGAGAGAGAGGAGAGGAGAGAGAGAGAGAAGAGAGAGAGAGAGAGAGAGAGAGAGAGAGAGAGAGAGAGAGAGAGAGAGAGAGAGAGAGAGAGAGAGAGAGAGAGAGAGAGAGAGAGACAGACAAAGAAAGAGAGTACGTGACTGAGTAAATTAGTAAGTATATAAGCGAGTAAGTGATTATGTGTGGGGGAGAGGGATGCCTGGGGGAGACATACGTAACAAGAGTAAAACAGAGAGTAAAAGGGAGAATGAGGGGGAAATGAGGATGCTGAAGGGAAAGAGGAGAGAGGGAGGAGACGGTGTGTTGGAGGGCGGAGAAAGGGAAGGGGAATTAACCGGACGTGTTTGTCCTGCAAGAGATCATCCGGGAGCGTCGGTACCCACCTCTTAGGCAGGTGATCCGGTAACAGGGATCGTATGGCATATCCAATTTTCCTATTACTAAAAATACAAAGAAAGAAAGGGAAAAAATAGGGGAAAATGAGTGAGAGAGATAGAGATAGAGATAGAGATAGATATAGTTAAATAGATAGGTAGAAAGAGAGAAAACGATAGAGACAGATGAGAAAAAGAGTACGGATGGATGGATGCAGAGATGAACAAACATTTACCTGGACGAATAACATAAAAAAAAGAATGAAAGGACGAAAGGCCGGATGGCAAAATGAAGAAAGGAAATCTCTCCCCACAGCCAGCAGGGGGCTAAAACCTGAACAACATTTAAGGGCTAAGTGGCAATAGCCTTGGACAAGCCTCCTACTTCATCATTAGAACAAACAAGCCTAAGGCGCTTTGGTTGGGTATGTCCCCCCCTCTCCTCCCTCTTTCTCCCCACCCTTCCTCGCCCCCCCAGCCTTTCTTTCCCCCTCCAGTTGGTCCCTCCCCTCCCTATATACGACCTTACCGCTTGGTCCTTCTTCCCGTCTCCCTACCCCCTCTTTTCTCCCCTTCCCTTCCCTTCTCTCCCATCTTCTCCTTCCCGTTGGTTCCCTCCTTTCCCCTCCCTTCCCTCTCTCCCTTCCTTCTCGTCTCGCTCACTTCCTATTTCCCTGCTTCTCTGCCTGTCCTCCCCCTCCCTCTATTTCCCGTTCTCCCCTTTCACAATTTTACTCTCGTAATAATGTATTCTGGTACATTTCATTCCACATTGTGTTGTTGTGTGTGTGTATGTTTGTGTGTGTGTTGTGGTGTGTGTGTGGTGTGTGTGTGTGTTGTGTGTGTAGTGGTGTTTGTGTGTGTGCGTGTGTGTGTGTGTGTGTATTTGTGGTGTGCGCGCGCGCGCGCTTGCGTGTTTAACTGATTATTATCTTATACGCCAACGCCCCTCCCATCTACACCGCCTGCATTCCACCTCCCCCCTATGCCTCGGGCGCTTTCCGCTCGATCCACACCCAAAAATCCCACGAAGACCCGTTCCTCTCGACGCTAATTAACCCTTGTCGTCCACCTTTATTCTCGCCGCAACTTACGCCAGTCAAGTCGATTCCACTTCACTCGAAATCGATCTCTCTTTACCGCTCCATTCACTCGCAAATCCGCATTCCTTTCCGATCCGTTCCTCGCACACACAATAGCCATTCAGCCATCGCATTTCACCAACCCCATAATCCACGCCAATCCGTTCACCAACCCATCATCCACCCGACCCAAACCCATCATCCACCCGACCAACCCATCATCCACCCGACGCCAACCGCATCATCCACCCGACCCAACCCATCATCCACGCCGACCCACACGCCAGACCACCACCCGCAACCCCATCACCCCACCGACCCAATCCATCATCCAACCGCCATCAATCCATCCGACCGCAACCCATCATCCAACCCGACCCAACCCATCAATCCACATCCGACCAACCCCATCACCCACCCGACCCAACCCATCATCCACCCGACCAACCCCATCACCACACCGACCCAATCCATCATCACCAACCCATCATCCATCCGACCCAACCCATCATCCACCGACCCACCCATCATCTCCACCGCCAACCCCATCACCACCCGACCGCCATCATCCACCCGACCATACCCCATCAACCACCCGACCCAACCCATCATCCACCCGACCAACCATCACCCACCGAGCCATTCCCATCATCCATTCATCCACCGACGCCAACCATCATCCACCCGACCAACCCCATCACCCACCGACCCGACAGCTACCCGATCAAACCTATCGCCCACCCGACTGGACCCGTCACCCACAAGACTATACCCATAACCCATCCGACCCGACACATCAACACCCGACCAAACCCGATCACCCTCCCGACAAACCCATCACATAATTGACTCCAACCCCATCACCCATCCATTCCCAATTTCATAATCGACCATACCCCCCCCCCAAGGAAAATAAAAATAAATGAAATTAAAAATATAAATAAAATAAATAAAAACAAAACGCACCCCCTTCCTAACCTCATCCTACTCCAACACTGCCCCTTATTACCCTTCCCTTAGGCCTATATGCACCACTGAAACCACTTCTTCACGCAACTACCTACAACGACCACATCAATCGCCAAATTACCAGCCACGGCAAAACTACTCGAATCCACTCGACGACCTGGGACGACCTCAGACCCAGGACGACCTCCACGCGCAAACGCACCCGGGTGGTGGCGGAGGGAGGGAAAGGAGTGAGGGAGTGAGAAACAGGTAGTAGGGGAAGAAGGAAGGAAGGAAGGAAGGAAGGAAGAGAAGGAGGGAGGGAGGAAAGGAGGGAGGGAGGGGGAGGGAGGGGAGGGAGGGAGGGAAGAGGGGGAGAGGGAGGGGAGAGAGAGAGGAGAGAGAGAGAGAGAGAGAGAGAGAGAGAGAGAGAGAGAGAGAGAGAGAGAGAGAGAGAGAGAGAGAGAGAGAGGGAGAGAGAGATTAATTAATCAAATAACCAATAACAACTTAGGAGGAAGGCATAGTAATGTGTTATGTGGTGTGTGTTAGGAGTGTGCGTGAGGTGTGAGAGTGAGTGAGTGAGTGAGTGAGTGAGTGAGTGAGTGAGTGAGTGAGTGAGTGAGTGAGTGAGTGAGTGAGTGAGTGAGTGAGTGAGTGAGTGGGTGGATGAGTGGTTGAGTCAGTGAGTATGTCTGTGTGAGTGGTGAGTGAGTGAGTGAGTGAGTGAGTTTTATAAGTGCATGTCCGTGCCACTGCGTGTAAGAGGGCGTGCTGCGTTTTCCGATATCTAGATCTTTGGAAACTTTCGAGTGCACCGAGTTCGAAGGACAAAATGCACTTTTTCGTGACCCAAAATAACTAGCACTTGTCCCCACTTCAACAAAATAAAAAAGGTAAAAACAAAAACAAAAAAACAAAAAAATGGACATAAAACCAGAAAAAAAATACCAGCCCATCCACCCACACACGCCCGCACGCCCGCACAGACGAACACAAACATCCCCAGCGTCATTACGGAAACAATAGTCAAAGGAGAGAATTGGGAAGAAGAAAAAAAGAGTAAATTACGGGCAAACGTTCCTAAAAAAAAAAAAAAAAAAAAAAAAAAAAAACACGCCAAGTTCTGCCTCGTAACAGAGAACAAATCCGGCGAGAAATCAGCGGCGCGACCATTGTTACCGCTGGAAAATGAACATAAACACGTCGCACAAAGAGAATATTTCACGTCCTCGCGTCCCGTGGCCACTCGCCGTTCACCCACTCGCCCTTCGCTACTCCCCGCTCGCCTCCTCGCCGTTCTGCCACTCGCAGGTCACCTATTCCCTGTTCACCTCTTCACCGTTCACCCACACGCTGTTCACACCATCTCGCCCGTTCTACTTCCCTGTTCACCTCTTCACCGTTCACCCACTCGCCGTTTCACGTTTACCTATTCCCTGTTCACCCTGTTCGCCGTTCACCACTCGCGACGTTTACCTATTCCCTGCCCACCCTATTCGCCGTTCACCTTCTCGCTGTTCACCTCCTCGCCGTTCACTTCCCTCCCGTTCGCGCTGCTCGCCGCCGGCCATTCCCGCCTTCAGCCCGCCCCGGCCACAGGATCTCGAATCGCCATCCCGCGCCCCCCCCCCCCGCCCCCTCCCGCCCTCCCCCCTCCTCTCTTATCCCCCCGTATTAACGGAATATTCATGCGGTCTCGGTCGCCGCCGCGCCTGTTTCGCTGTCATTAAAGGAATTCGGCGCTGCAACACTCTATTCCTCGCCCTCGATATCCGTTGCGGGTTCGTCGACGCTCTATACGTTTGCCCACGACGTAACCCCCCCCCCTTCCCTTTCCGGTTGAACTTCCCCCCTTCCCCTGACGATTTCCCTCCCCCCTCCCCCCTCCACCAAGCCTTCCTTCCCCTTCCCCCCTAAGCTTTCCCTACTCTTCCCTCCATGCCATCACCCCTCCCCTTCCCCTGACGATTTCCCTCCCCCATACCCCTTACACCCCCCCATTCCTTACACTTTCCCTCCCATTCCCCCTTCCCCACGCCTTCCCTCCCCCATCCCCATACACTTTCCCTCCACAGCCCCTTCCCCCCTACACTCCCCCCCCTCCCACGCCCATCCCCCCCCACCCCACTACACGCCGCCGCGGGGGGGGGGGGGGGGCTGTGGGCTAAATACATGACGTGTTTGATATTTTCATTTGGCAGGCAACGACCCACACGAATTTAGGCCCTGCGTGGAGACTACATCCTTTTTGTTTGTCTGTCTGTTTGTTTAGGCATATATACGTGTGCGTGTGTGTGTGCGTGTGTGTGTGGTGTGTGTGTGTGCGTGTGTGTGTGTGTGTGTGTGTGTGTGTGTGTGTGTGTGTGTGTGTGTGTGTGTGCGCGCGTTTATGCGTGAGCACGTACGTTTATATGTGTGAGTTCTTGTATAGCAGCACGTCCTCCGCAGACACAGCCAAGGACCGTCTCCTACGGCGATAAACCCGAAGCTGATAACGGAATCCACGGAGCAGCGTAAGCGGGTGAATCACAGGATTCTGAAGATTATATCTGACACAAAA